TACTTTCCTCAGCAGAATTTTAACACTTTCTAACACTTTCTAACTTTGACCAAGTTTGTTCCCAGGTATTTTATTTTTCTTCTGCTCCTCTGAACAGGATCCCAGCTTTCCTGCAGGTGTTTTAGGGGATGGGGCGGCACCCCTTGGCTCACCGTCTCCTCCTCCGTGAGCTCCTCCTCACCCACCTGGCCACTCAGCAGATGTGCATGCAGCTACTCCCCCTACCAAGTAGGGGCTCCCTTGTCTCTGGGCTTCTAGGTGGGTCAGCCTACGGGGGCTGCTCAGGGCCCCCTGCCGCTCCCTCCTTCCAGGCGTCTATGACTTCCCCTCCCCACCCCTTCTTGCCCTGTCTGGGCTTCCCTCATACTTGTCTGCAGGTGGAGTGTTTGCTGGAAGCACTTTCCCAGATACACTGTGGTCTTTATCGATGTGGCATTATTCACGGGCCCATTAAGACCATCAGCATCTGGCTACCGGGTACAGCTGGTCTCCCCTTTGTGTCCTCCCGTCACCCGCTGCCATGAGCAACATGGTGGCCACCAAGTTCATTGGCGCCCCTCACCCTCATCTTCCTCGTCCAGCCTATTCGCGCATTAAAACCCTTGCCACCCACAATCATGCCCACCCCTTCCCTGCCTCCCACCTGTCCATGCCCCCCAGTGTCTTCTCCACCCACTTTAGCCTCCGGAGCCCATTCTCCGCAGAACAACCGGGCTGCCTCAGAAGCAGGGAGCAAGCGGCCTGTCCCCGCTGTGGGAAGTCTTGTGGAGGTAGCCCACTTGGGGGGAGAGTAAAGCCCCCCACTGTGGCTGATGGGCTCCTCCCCCTGACCCTCCGCCCGCCTCCCGGCCCAGCACCGGCTCTGACTGCGGCCTCCACGCTCTGCTCTCCTGCTCAGAATGCTCCCTCCCAACGCTGCGCGGCTCTGACACGTCCCAGGGGTGACATGGCCTCCACGCACTCCCCCCGACTCTGTCACCCTGTTCCTTTTGTTCCGGAATCCCGGGTGAATGCATCAGACACCTTCATACCTGCCTCCACACCTTTCGCCTCTCTTCCGGGATTTCTGTCCACGCTGCAATCTGGTGAATTTCTCCAGCTCTGTCTCCCGCTTCACCGATTTCGCCTTTAGCAGACCCTGATCTGCTGTCATAACCCATTCACCAACCCTTACAGACTCTCCCGTCTCACCCCCCCCCCCCGTGATACCCCACCCACAAGTGCAGCGTTTTTACGTGTAGGCTGACCTTTCAGAGTCCTTGTCTGGGAGAAGGTAAGCTCCATGAGAGTAAGAGCTTTTCTGTGTTTTCTTTCCTGGGTTCTCGAGGTTTGAAACTGGCTTGATCATCATTTATTAAGTGAACAAATGAGCCAATATCTGAACCTTTGGCCTCAACCGTGAGAGGGTTCCCTGCCACGTGCTGCGCGGGGTGGGTTCTGGAGCTGCAGTGGCGGCTAATGGCTCGGGAGCGGCAACAGTGGTGGTGCTCTGAGCTCGTACACCAAGAGCCCGCTCCCCACTCCAGTCCTCCTGGAGCATCTCAGCCACACCCCGGGGGCTAGCAGCCCACCTTCCCAATCACACCGTCCCCTGTGTACCTGCCCTGCGTCAGGAGGCTGCCTGGGTCCCTGGCGACCACTCTTCCTCTCCCTGTAGGAGGCCTGCCTCCCTGGCCGCTCCTGGAGGCCTGCTGTGCCTTCTGTGCCCACCTCGGCAATGTGGCTCGGGCACACCGCTGTTCCAACCAGGGAGTTGTTTGGGACGCAGGCCACGTGCAGGAGTTTCAAAGTCCTGTCCTCCTGCCGGGAGCAGACACTAGATAAGCACTGGTTCCAGCGAGGGCGGCCTCCTCAGCCTGGCTCCTGGGAAGAGCAGAGAAAGCTGGCAAAGCTACTGGCTGGAACAGGCAGAGGTCATCCAGCTGGCCAGTGCCCGGGCCCTACAGGAGGCCACCGACCCGAGAGGCTGAGCTGCCCCCCTGATGCTGCGTTGGGGTGTAACACCCGTGAGCACAGCAGAGGTCTGCCACCAGCGCGCCCTCTGTTGCCACCTGTGCCTGTGATCCTGTGTCTCTTCTGATGGAAAGATGCATGCCCAGTTCCTGGACCAAGGGGAGCCCGGCAGCCCCCACACCCATAAGGGAACCTCTTGCCAGTAGGGTCCACACCTGCCCGGTGCCTCATCATGTTCCCACACCTGGGTGGTCTAATCTTAAGTCAGGCTAAAGAGATGAATGAGTTTCCAAAGAGCCAGAAGTCCATACTGTCCAAGCAGAAATCCCAGAGCCCTGACCTGCAGGCAGAGGGGCTCTCAGTGATAGTGGGGGTGGGGGCATAAAAGGGGCTTTGAGCCTGACCCCTTCCTGCCTGCAACACAGCATGAGTCCATTACACCAGTTGGAAGCCTGAGGCTTTAATTCATTTAAAAAACGGTGGCAGACCAGGAAAGTTCCAGCAGACTGTCAGGTCCTCAGGAAAGGCCGTCACAGAGCCCTTCTGGAGTTCCAGGGTTTTGGACAACCAATCCTCCAGGATTCCTCCCCAACCACACCCAGCTGCCCGGGTTGTCCAGAGAAGTTCCTCTTGTACTAAGTTCCTGCCTATAAAGATGCAGCCACCATAAAGCATTTGGGGTGTGTGTGTGTGTAACGGCATGCCAGGCTTATATGGAGGGGACGCCCTCCCAGCTCTCAAGGCACTCATCCTGGGACAGTCCACAAGTGGAAGATGAACACAGACTCATTTTCAACTCTGAGAATGACAATGCAAATAACAGGTTCTGATCACCACTGTAGAAAATCGGGAAAACCCAAAAAGCCACAATCTCATCCCCACGAACACTGATCACCACTGTAGAAAATCAGGAAAACCCAAAAAGCCACAATCTCATCCCCACGAACACTGTGGTATTCATACCTCTGCTTTAAGAAGCCGCACAGACAGCGTCACAGGTAGAGGGCACCAGGTGGGGGCGTTCTGTCTCTGCCTCCCTGACTAAAGTATTTAAGTATTTCCACCATGGTGGTCACCAGGGGTGGCTCTGGGCCAGATGGTGGGACTCACACCTGGGTCCCCTCCCATAGCAGCTGCATAACGTCTGTGCCTCAGTTTCCTCAGTGGTCAAATGGGAATGGGGACAGGACTGTCACATCCCAGAAGGGCTCGAAATGCTGGGAGTGTGTGGCTCTACTAGAACGGCTGGTGTCAAGCCTCCATTTGCTTGGCGTGGTCACCCCATATTTCCTCACGTGGCCCCCACTGTATTCCTTGCCTGGGCTCGACGCTGGCACACACGGACCTGGAGTGTCAGGCAGCCCGTCCTCCTCGCGCTGTCCCGCAGTGCAGCGTGCCAAACGCTGAGGTCAACGGCTGTCTATCTCCTGCCCGCCTACCAAAGGCTGCCTGTCCTCACCAGGGACTGCCAAGTGCTCCCTGACCGTGGTCGCGTCTCCTCCCCCACCTCATAGGTGGGAGGGCCCCAGGCGCTCTGCCTGGCAGGACCAGCTCCCTGTGACCATACCCAGTACACGGTCAGCTGGTTGAGGACACACAGGCCCTCTGGGCTTTCCCCGAGCCATCCCACAGGGCAGGAGCATGTGCAAAACACAGATCCTCTTGTTCTCTCCCAAGTGTGGCCTGGCTGTTTGCAGCTGCAGAGCGAGCCACAGCTGGAGGGCCGGGCCTCGCAGGGAGGGAACGGCATGCGGTCCCCTGCGGGACGCAGCGGCACCCCGGATGGCGGAGCCCCAGGGCCAGGGAAGAAGGAGGGTTTGCTTGGACTGGACTTGTTTCAGGAAAACCACTTGTGGACAACAAAACACAGACAGGAAAGGAAAGAAAAGCAACTGTGTAATAATAGTGTGGATACAAAGAAACAGACGTCAGAAAAGCTTTTCCTACCTCCCAGGGCAGCATCTGGTGACCCACCAGAACCACTGCCAAAAGGATGGGGCAGGACACTCCTCCCTGGGCCCCCAAATCTCGATGGCCTTTCTTGGGGGCCTTTCCCCACCTTCCCTGCCCCGCGGGCCGAGTGGGTCGCCCTGGTCACGGCCTCCCACCGGCCTGGGTCCCCAAGTGCACGCACGGCGAGCCCCGGGGCCAGGAGCCGCCCCGCCCCGGAGGCTTGCTGTCCACCGTCCCACTGCTGGGTGGCAGGGACTCGGCGGGGAGAGCGCGCTGCGGCGGGGGCCGGCCGAGGATCAGCGCACGCCACGGCCGGTCGCGGCGCCCCGGCGACCCTGCACCCAGGACCCCCAGCCGCGGTCCGCCAGGGCCCAGAGTGGGGGGCGGGGGCACCCGAGGCCCGCGGTGTGGGCGCGGGGTCGCACGGACACTCTGCGGGGTCGGGGAGCCTCCGGGGACCGGAGGGGCGTGGGCCGGGGCGCTAGGGCGTCGGTTCGGGGGACCCCGAGGGCAGGGTCAGTGAGCAGGAGGCGGGACGCGCGGAGGCCCTGGGGTCGGAGCGTGGGGACACGGGGCACGCCGGGCGTGCGCGGGGGGAGGGGTGCTGGGCGGGAGCGGGCGGCCAGGGACGCGGGAGCGCGTGCGGCGCACTGGCCCCCGGAAGAGGGGGACGGGGACGTTCGGGGTC